ATGTCTGCAAGAAAACAACCAAGCTCCGAGGGCACCAAGGACCCCACGTTCCTGTCTTCCTCCTCCTCCTCCTCCTCCTGCCATATCCATCATCAGACGTCGGGGATCATGTTGGTGATTCTATTTTTATCAACAGCCGCATGAAAAAGGCCTGCTGAGTTTCGTCCAAACCAGCTTTAGATTCGTAAGCCACGAAGTTCTTCTTCTGCCTGGACCTCCTCTGCCTTCAATCTTTCCTCGGAGGAGGATTAAGTGAAGGATGCCGTATTTTTCTGGGTGTCACCTCACCTGTCCAAAATATTCTGACTTTCACTTTTTTAAGTGGTTTTCAATGGCTTCCATTGGCTTTCCCAGGGGGCTTATCCCACCCCACCCATTTCAGTCTTGCAGGGATGCAAAGGGGGTATTCAGGGGAGGGACGTCAAACCGGAACTTCTACTGTCCTCTCCACCCCGCCCGTATTTTCTTCTCTGCGTTCAAGGGCCCGGAACAGGCTTCCCGCATGCTGGGCTGCCCACCTCCGCGAAATCCAGCTCTCCAGAAGTGTCGCCCTCCAGCTTCACTGGCAAAGGGTCAGTTGCAAGGCGATGCACACTTTTGTGTAGTGTGTGCGTGCGTGTGTGTGTGTGTGTGCGCACGCTCACCCATCTTGGACTTACTGCTCCCACCAGGAGGGGCTCCTTTTGTCTCAAGAGATGCACAGCGGAGACTGGGGGTCGGGGGGGTGGGGATTATCCCACTATCCAAGTGGTCAAAATAGCTTCCCTGTTCTTGCTTGGTCCCCAAGTCTTGGTCCAGCCTGGAGGAGACCCTCCTCGGAGGCTCCACAAGGGGTCGCTATTGAGAGAGGGTTGCTCCAGAGAGAGACGGAAGTACAGCAACGCGCGCGCGCGCGCACACACACACATATATTACCCTGCAGACGATAGAGATAAAAAAAGAAAAAAAGTAAAGACTTGCATGCTCAGCTGCTTTAGAGTTAAATGCTCAGTTGCTTCCTATTCCTTTTCTCAGGATCACTCAAAGTCTCAGGACTCCCCAACCAGCATGCTTTACGATGGGGGACTTCAACTCCCAGAATCCCTCAGCCACCATGCTAGAGAGTTTTCAGAGAAGTGGACTTCAACTCCCAGAATCCCTCAGCCACCATGCTAGAGAGTTTTAAGAGAAGTGGGCTTCAACTCCCAGAATCCCTCAGCCACCGTGCTAGAGAGTTTTAAGAGAAGTGGACTTCAACTCCCAGAATCCCTCAGCCACCGTGCTAGAGAGTTTTAAGAGAAGTGGACTTCAACTCCCAGAATTCCTCAGGCAGCATGTTTTAAGATTGCTGGGTGTTTCCGGAGCTTGAATTCCATATAGGTTATAAAAGTTTCTGAGACTGAGATTAGTTTAATTTCTTGCTACTACCGTGTAGTTTCTGTTTCTAAAGAGGGCAGTGGGATATACTGGTGTTTGCAGAGAAATTCCACCAGCACCGAGCCAAAAGATTAAAATGTTTTCCAGCCATGCAGGCTCCTGGTCTGGAAAGGCAGCAGAGAATGCCCACAAGCGATGTATACCTAGTCCAGAGCCCTTTCTGAAGCAGGTGAGTTCCTGGAATGACCGGGAGTGCCCAAAATAACCAGGTGAAGAAGAAAGCATCCCGATGACGACAAAGAGCTTGCCTGGACCCAAATATTTATTAAAACAGAACCAAGCCAGGAACTATGAACAGAAAATCACAAACTAGCCATCCCTGCCTGTTACGGATTCTTATTTTCTCTATCACCCGCTTTTAAAATAATAATAATAATAATAATTTTCTTGTTTAATTTAACCCCGTAACAGTTCCCAGCATCGAGACACGGAACTGCAGCGGCTGAGAGAGAACCGGGGTTAAAGAAGTACAATTTTTAGAAAACCAGAGGGGGTGTGTGTGGAAAATCGGTAGTATAACAGTAATAAAATTCCCAAACCAGTTCAACCAATTAAGCCGCCTTGCAGTCGCCTCGAAGCGAGATGGGTGGCAAACGAATCAAATCAATAAAATAAAATAAAACTAAGATCTGCTGGTGACTGATCCCCTCCACCCTCAATGGAAAAGAGACTTCGGCTGTGTTTCAGGAGGCCTTCCGAGGCTGGGATAGTTGCCTACTCTGGGCGTGCCAATTGATATTGATCGCTGTGGTCCTGGCCATCGATGACTTTGGGAGCCTTTTGCAAGAGTTGCAACCAAATAATAATCTGCTCACGGACAAAATATACCTGCAGCCTCGCAGCACAACCTCGTTCCCAAAATCAGACAGACGGTGCTTAACCGTTTCCTCCCCGTTGCCGAGGCCCCCTGTCTTGGGAAACGGTGAGAAAGGAGCCGATTTTTCTCGGACAGTAACCACAGACGGAAGATGACACATCCAGGCAGCAGAGAACCTCCCTGTCCATTGAATCTGGCGAGCTGTGGGAGCTCTACTGTGCCCCTTTTTTGGAGGGGGCAAGAGTGAAAGAGCTACCGGCGGGGTCCCCGGAACTGATATCGGAAGGCAGATGTTGAAGGGATCCTTGACTGCTGAAGGAAGAGGAGAAGGTGAGACTGGATTCTGTTAAGAAAAAGACATGAAAGGGAAAGGACACGGGAGTTAAGAACTCACCAGAAGGAGCCAGCTCCAAATCACCTGTTACTTATAATTTTAGAAAGCCACCTGGTTCCATAAAGGTGGCCCAGATTTAGAACATGTAAACGAGTCAGATTAAAAAAACGAGAAAAGAAGAATGCACATCCAAAGAATGATAATCACATTGCCCCAACAGGTAAAAATCCTATGCGTGAGTTTGGTCTAGTTCAGAGGTTAGCCACCCGCGGCTCTGGAGCCGCATGTGGCTCTGTCATCCCTCTGCTGCGGCTCCCTGTCGCCAACCGCCGTGTATGTGACACCCACCAGCATGCAATTTATTGGGCTTTTTGACTCCTGGTAGGCCAACCATGGGTAAATCCAAGAAAAGAAAAGTTTCAGAAGAAAACAGAACATATAATTCAACTACATAGGCTAGTTTTGTGGCCGTTCAGGAAATAGTCAGGCACGGGAAGGGTTTTTGCGGCTCCCGGTGTTTTCTTTTCTGTGGGAAACGGGTTCCAATGGCTCTTTGAAAGTTTAAGGTTACTAACCCCTGGTCTGGTTGTTAAGGCCCTGGGATGAAAGAGAGGTGAGTTCTAGTCCCATTTAAAGGATGAAAGCCGGCTGGGTGATTTTGGACCAAATACCAGGAGATGGTGAGTTCTAGTTCCACTTTAGACAAGAAAGCTGATTAGATGACTTTGGGGCAACCACCAGGAAACGATTAGTTCTAGTCCCTCCTTAGGCTGTTGCAAGTGTTCCAACAGAAAAGACACGTTTTCCGGGTCCCCAAGGATGCTATTGTTTTAATCAGGAGGAGCCCATTCTGTCTGTTCATACAGGACGGAGTCGTGCGGGCGCAGTGGTTAGAATGCAGTATTGCAGGCTAACTGTGCCTACAGCCAGGAGTTCGATCCTGACCGGCTCAAGGTTGGACTCGGCCTTCCATCCTTCCAAGATGGGTAAAATGAGGACCCAGATTGTTGGGAGCAAGAAGGTGACTCTGTAAAGCGCTTTGAGAGGGCTGTAAAGCACGGTGAAGCGGCATGTAAATCTAAGGACTATTGTTATAAACTACGGGAGACAGACACTCCGCTCCAAATAACTCATGCAGAAAAGGCGCCAAATTGAAGTTAACGGACTATCCTACATCCCAACTCTAGGAGGGCAGGGTAGAAGAGCAGAAGAGAGGTGAGACACACCCTCGGCGAGCGAGATCCTGCAGACTTCAGCAGGAACGGATTAAGCAGAGTCAGGTGGCAAGAAACAGGTGCCATTTTTTGCTTTTTCATCGTATGAATTATGATGCCCCCAAAGGGGTGGGGGGGGGTGGGGAAAACCAGGGTCAAGGGTGACCGTGAATTAACGTGCCTGAGAATCGGCTTCCTTACAGGTCATGCCGACATGTTCGCTCCTAATAAATTCTTCGAAGGTTTTGAAGCTTGACTCGAGGCTCATGATTTAAATTAGGGAAGCTGCTGGAATCCTGACGGCAAGCTGGAGGTGTCGATGAAAGGTCAAGAAAACAGACCAAAAGGCCCCTCCCAAAGGGTTAGAAACTCACCAGCCCGAAATGCAATAGCTTTCTCCATTCTCTTTACGGTCTTGTCGAAGAATTCTTTAACCCAAGGGGCCATTATGTCAACTAAGATGTACAGAATGACCAGTCCGATGACAACAGCCATTGAAATCTGAGAGAGAGAAAGAAAGGTGGGCTGTGAATTCCTCAGCTGAACAGGGACCCCACCCCCGTTGTCATTGTCTTCTTATCCTGCCGGCCAGGAACGCTCAGCCTTCCTTTTAGTTAGGGTGGGGAGAAGTATTTGGAGGGGACACCTCCCCCCACCCACCCCCAGGTGAGATCCGAACAGGCCCTTTCGGTCTTCTGAAAGGGCCTAAAAACCTACCTCTGCCAATTGGCCTCAACAGGAGCGTGTCATTCTGAAGATGGTTAATGGCCTAAGACAGAGGTCCCCAAACTTGGCAACTTTAAGACTTGTGGACTTCAACTCCCAGAATCCCCCAGTTCAGAAATGCTGGCATGGGAATTCTGGGAGTTGACATCCACATGTCTTCAAGTTGCTAAGACTGAGCAACGCCGGACTAAGATAAGGTGCCTCCTCCTTTTCATGTGAAAGGCGTACATCTTGGTCCGGGGTTGCTTTCTTCCTCCCTGTTAAACCAATTTTTGCGCCGACATTCATGGTTTTAAGGGTTTGTCTTGTTTTTTGATGATCGTAAGCTGCCTAGAGTCGCCTCCAGGCGAGAAGGGTGGCATATCAATTTAATGGAGGAAGAAATGGCATTTGGAAGAACACGGGCTATCCCCACCCAAAAATATCCTGCCCTTTGAACAGAGGGTTATCAAACTAGCCTTGAATACGGTTCTGCCCTAATGCGAATGCCTGTGGGGATGAATGAATGAGTGAGTGAACGAGTGAGTGAATTTTTCCCGAAGTATTTCCACCCAGACGTCCCCCCTGAGATGATACTTCATCTTTTTGCATTTGTCTTTAAGCATGTGGGAGCTTGACCAGCTTGGCTTATGCCACGTCGGACAAAAAGGATCCCCATCGTTCATTAATTCAGTTGCAGTTCAGAGTTTTCATGCTCGAGCCCATGCACAAGAATCTAGTCAACTAAAGATCAGTACTAACTTGGAGCAGGCTCTGTGGCATTCAAGACGGGTTAGAGGTGGCAATCTAAGGATTCTAAGCTGCTGCTCAGCTTAACTCCCCTTCCCAGCTGGGAATGCCCCCCCCCCCGCCCTGGAAAAGCCAGGACTGAATTTATGACCACTGATAGTAGGTAAGATAGCAGATCCTCCTGTCACTAAACCACGGTCTTTTGGGTAGGCTAAGCACTTAGCCTCACAATCCTGGAGGGGAACAACCGGGGAGTCTCTGGGGCTGTGAGAACATAATCCCCCGAGTTCGCGGGATCCTCACCTTCCCTTTATGTGTGGAAGGGCTTCTTGCCCTTCACACGACCTGTGAACCTAGTGTCAACCCTGAAACCGACCAGGCCGAAGGCATCTTGGAGCTTCAGAGTGGCCACAGTGGAGTAGAGGGATAGGACGGGGGGGGGGGGGATTTGTGATATTTGGGATTTTGTAGCCAAAATAAAATACTGTCTCTTGGGAACCAAGGAGTCACACCTGGGCGGAGGAAGGAGGAGTGATTGTCACCAGGTAACCAGAGCGAGCGGGGATTGAGAAAGTGAAAAAAACACTTTTAATTAGGTGAAAACTGTGGGAACCTTCAAAGCAGTGGTGGGATTCAAAAAAAATTTTACTGCTGGTTCTGTGGGTGTGGCTTGGTGGGCGTGGCAGGGGAAGGTTACTGCAAAATCTTCCCTCCCCACCCCACTAACCTGCTTTCCAGCTCCATTCTCCTGTGCAGGGCAATCAAAGAAGAGCCAGCCGATCAGCTGAGACTCAATGGGAAGCAGAGAAGAGATGGGGTTGGCGGGGCCAGTCAGAGGTGGGATTGGCCGGTTCTCCAAAGTACTCAACATTTCTGCTACCGGTTCTCGAGAACCGGTCCAAACCGGCTGAATAGCACCTCTGCTTCAGAGTCGGTTTGGGCCAGATCTGTGCCAATAGAATATATCCAATAAAGCTGTTCTTTGACGGATCTACCGACCTCGGAGTTTTGCTTGCTATGGGCCTTACTACTTGGAACCCTGACACCTAGTCAAAGGCCAGCTGTCTTACCTGCATCACGTACAGGGCACGGGCGGGGCTGAGGCGCAGGCCATGGATGTGCACGATGAACTCCAAGGCATAGTCACAGTAGGTGGTTTGGTCGACCCCCCTATGGAAGCAAACAAGAACAGACAACCGGACGACGCCTTGATTGGACCATGAGACTGATTGTTTGGAGAAGGGAGGAAATGTTTACTTTTAATTAGGTGAAAATCATCTCTCTCTCTCTATATATATATATATAAAAGCAAAATACCACTCAGGCATCATCACGAAATCTCCTGAACCGTCAAGCCTACAAACTTGATATTTGGCATGTATGTTCCTCTTGGCGCTCACTTGGTGCTCACTAAGAAAGGATTTTTCAAAATGACCACCAGAGCATTAGTATTTCGTATATTACTATTATGGACACGCTCTGATGTTAAGGAGTTCTGCTCCCCCTCCCCACCTGAAAAGAAATCTCTTCCAAATGCAAAACACAAGCAGAGGAGAGGAGTTTCAGTTTCACAGCAACCAAGCAGCTTTAGTACAGAACAGTTAAGCTAAGCCATGCCCAGGCTCCTTGCTGTCTCCTCCTTGCTCACCCAGCAAATGCTGTTTCAGTTTCCAAACAGCCTTCTCTCACACAGGACACTAGCCAGATGAATACCGATGAATGGTGGTAGGCAGAGTTTTTCCCCCTTATTTTCCTCCCCAAAATCTAAGCCTGACCACAGAGTTTCGTAGTGAAGCATGGGTATAGAGCTACCCAATTAAACTGTTCTTTGAGGAATTTACCAGCCTCGGAGTTCAGTTTGCTATGGGTGTATTACTTGGAAACCCCGTCCTTTTCTAAAAAGTTTTCCCTCACCTCACAGTGATTAAATCTCATCGCAGGCTCTTCCTTCCTAGTTTTCTACATCTGAGCTTCTCAATCTTTAAGAAGTTGGATCTCAGCTCCCAGAATTCTGGGAGTTGAAGTCCACCTGTCAGGCGTGAAAGACTGAATCCACACATAAAGGTCCATCAAAATGGGATTTTTACTCTGCTAATCATGCCTCTGTAGAGGAATCTTCTCGACTAATATTTAGCCCCTGCTCGGAGTTAAATAAGAGTCAATGGAATTCAAGGGCGGTTGGACCGAGCTCATTTGTGGCTATGCAGGGATTCTGGGCTGATTCCTCTTTTAATTCCACCCCCTGGCAACTCTAAAAAGACCACAGAAATAGTTTATAACACCCACGCAGTGCCAGCATGTTAACTCCCAATAAATCCTTTGTAAGTTTTGGAAGTTTGGCTCAAGACTCGTGATTTAAATGGGGGGAACTGCCGGAATCCTGACACCCCCAGGTTCTGCCAGTGCTTCTCCTACACCACCTGTCTTAAATTTACTGAGGTTGAGAAACCCTGTGCTGCATAATGAATGAAGCTCTTAGTCCAATAGACTCCAGATCATGAGCCTCACTCTTGCAGCAGGCTAGTAATTCAATGACAACATGCCACAGACACACCCGCCCTTAGAAAAAAGCTCTCCCGTGCGTTCTGCCATGATCACAAATCACAAATACCTGTTGGATACTTTTATCACAAAGAAATAATCGGGAGTAGCCATACTTTGGGGGACGATATCGTAACATGGAGAATTTTTCTGACAAATCCACCTAAAAGGGGGAAAAAAAGGAGATTTTGGCCCAGGCAAGATCCTACAATTAGCTGCTTCATATCTCTGGGTTTGGAATCTTTAAAAAAAAAAAAGATTGGTTTTGGATGGTATAAAATCCAGTAGGGGGAGTTAAAAAGGAACTCTGTGCTGAAGGAATGCTGAATGAAAACAAGGCAGGGTTCGCACATAGCTCTAAGCTACTATAGGAAATTAGCACCCACCCTTCTCCTAGAAAAATGAAATATCCCAGGAAATATTTAAAAGGCAGAATATTTCCCCTAAAAAGAGTAGAAACTCAGAAGCAGAAGCTCACCCCCACCTTTGCTAATGGACTATTACTCTGACCTAAACCAATCTATTCTACATCCCAAAGACCTACTCTAGGTAGAGCCATATGAGGAATTGCCCAAAGCCCTTTTCATTACATCATCGTCCAGCAAGGCTCAACCAAGCCTGGGACTCAGGACAGCCTACAGAGTTGCCCCTGCATGGCCCCATGGGAGTCTGACAACCAATCAGAATACAAGCTCAAATTCAAATCGCAACAGAGGGCATAAAACCCAGGGACTCTCAGCATACCAGCTCTTTTCCTTCTTTCTTCGCCCAAGGCACATGATCCTGTCCACCGTTAAACCATCTTTCCAAGCACTCACCTTGTTGCCAGCGTCTTTCTTCCCCGCTTGAAACTGAACCCAGGGTATTTCTTCCCACGCTACAAAGCGTGACACTCCGAGCTAAGCCCCTTTCTTTCATTCTACTAACCCAAATCGTAAAATCTTAGGTTAGGTAACATCCGTGGTAGAAGGGAGCGGGGTTTGCTCTCTCTCTCTCTATCTATAAACGGCTTCCTTTGCCAATGTTGGTGGGGGTGTGGTTTTTCTCTTTGATCATTCCATGGTTAGGCCACTATTTAATTAGGGAGCTCCCCAATTGGGAAACTCGCTGTGGGGTCTGAGCTTGGTTGGGTTCTTGCAGACATTTCATTACCCCGACTAGGGAACATTATCAGGGCTAGAAGGGAATCGGATTTGCTCTGTTTATAAACAGTGGATTGCACTGTAGGAGTGATCTTGGGGATTCCCTGATTAGGCTGCTGTTTAGAGTTTGATCGTTTGCCTGAGTTGGTAGCTTCTTAATTGCAGTATTGTTATTCATGCTTGACTCAGCCTTCCAGTCTTCTGAGACTGGTAAAACGAGGACCCAGATTGTTGGGAGCAAGAGGCTGAATTGCTTAGAGAGGGCTGTAAATCACCGTGAAACGGTATATAAGTGCTATTGCTCTTCCTTTTCCCCTTCCTTTCTTCCTTCCCTTCCTTCCTCCCCTTCTTTCCTCCCTCCCTCCCTCCCATACTGCACAGTAGTTAGAGTGCAGCATTGCAGGCTAACTTTGCCCGCTGCCAGCAGTTCGATCTTGACCGGCTCAAGGTTGACTCAGCCTTCCCTCCTTTCCAAGGTTGGTAAAACGAGGGCCCAGATTGTTGGGGACAAGAGGCTGACTCTGTAAACCGCTTAGAGAGGGCTGGAAAGCACCATGAAGCAGCATATAAGTCTAAGGGCTATTGCTATTGCTTCCTTCTTGGTTGTTGATGACCCAAAACTGTATCCAAGCCTCTTTCACCGGAGGTGAGAATTTGAAGGAGTCTGTTCAGAAACTCATCTGCAAATCCAAACGGTGTCTTTCACAGGAGAACTTACACAATTCCAGGGTTGCTTTCAGAGAGGACCGGGAAACCTTCCTCATTGGTTTCATCAACTTCTATGTCGGATCTCGCCCAAATCAAAGCTGTCATATTACTGGAGAAGAGAAATACAGATCAAGACAGGGGGGCTTTGCCAAGGTCTGCACGGAAATCCACAGCTCCTTCCTTCCCCCCGTTTTTTTGTAGGAGATCCTCCACTCCTGAACTGCCGCATTCTCTACAGGGGGCTACCCTAGGAGACTATTGGGAAGCTGCAGCTGGGGCAGAACGCACAGTTCTGGGGTGGGGGGGGGGACGGCGCAAGGGCTGCACATATAATACCGTTTGGTGTGAGCAGCATTGGTTACCCGTTTGCTTCTGAGTCCAGACTGGGCCTACGCAGCAGCCTGGATGAAAAGTCACCTGTTAGTGTTGTATTTTATGATCTCTTCCGGAGTGAAGTATCTGATGTTGCTCTCCGAAAAGGCTCCTCCGCCAATGACGGTGAAGAGGTAGCTGTCAAGAGAACAAGGAAGACGGAAGATTCAGGCTCGGATCAGGATAGAGCTGGAAGGGACCCTGGAAGTCTTCTAGTCCAGTGGTTGCCAATCAGTGGGCCGGGGACCGCTGGTGGTCCACGAGATAATTTGGGTGGTCCGCAGAGAAATGTCACCCCGAAAGCAGCCCCCAAAGCAATTAATCCAGGCTACGCAGGAACACAAGGCTTGCGTTGCTTGCATTGCGAACAACGTGAGGTAGTGGGGGGGGGGGAAAGGGCGGTGGGGGGGTGGAGAAACTCGCCCCACGCGCACAGCCTGGCCACCGGTCTGCTTCTTTCTTCTTCTGCTTTTGGCTGCAGGCAAGGAAAGCAGCAGAAGTCTTTCTTTCTTCTCCCCCACACTCCGCCAGGAATGAGTCTTTGGGACCCTGCAAGGCCTCCTGTTCCGAGAGGCTGCGCTGGTGCAGCAAGTCTCACAAAGACTCACTTCTGGTGGAGTTTGGGGGAGAGAAAGAAAGACTTTTGCTGCTTCTGCTGCTTTCCTTGCATGGAGCCAAAAGTTCCCCCCACCCCCACCGCCCCGAGAACAGAGCTGGAGATGGTATCCTGCGATCCCAAATAAAGAATGATTGATCGGGAGGGTGGGGAATTTTCCTGCAGACTTTGCGGGGGGGGGGGGGGTTTGCCCAGGGTCTCTGGTCGGTGGGATTTAAAATTATGAGCTTGGTGGTCCCTGAGCTCTAAAAGGTTGGCGGCCCCTGCGTTAGTCCACCCACTGCGCAAGGACAACCCTGTATTATTCCAGTCTCTTCCTAAAAACCTCCTGGGATGAGGCACCACAACGTCTCAAGGCTAATTCTTCTCACTAATTGATTCATTGTTATGTGATGTAACAATCGTATAATTGTTACGAAGCCAACTTACACCAATTCCCCACTCCACATCCTTTGGTTAAATATGATTTGCACAACTGAGATGAAACCACACCTCTGTTTGGGGGTCTTCCCTCCATCCCACCCCCACTTTTTAGATAGCAGGAACGGAGAAGACACCAATTGCCAAAGCAGATTCTCTAAAGCAGGGGGTCCCCAAAACTTGGCACAACTTTAAGGCTTGTGGACTTCAACTCCCAGAGTTCCTCAGAGTTCCCAGCTCTGGCCAAAGGTTCACCATCAGGCTGATCAAAGCTGCCATCACTCCACACACACACACACACACCCATACACATCCATCCATCCGTCAAATCAATCAGAATAGAGTTGGAAGGGACCTTGGAGGTCTTCTAGTCCAGCCCCCTGCTCAAGCAGGAGACCCTCTACCATTTTCAAAGCAGGCAGAGATGTAATTTTCCCCCCAGAGTTGATTCATTTGGCGTGTACTTCTTAGAGAGGTGGAAGATTACTTCGGGTGTACTTCGGGTGGCGTGTACTTCTTAGAGAGGTGGAAGATTAGACCGCAACAACATTCTTCTTATACACACACACATACACGGGGGAGAGAGAGAGACACACACACACAGAGAGCGAGCCAGACTTCTGGTGCTGATGTGGGAGTTTCATTGAACCAGTCTTCTTCGTTCTCGCCCCGCCCCCCCGCCCCCCTCCAGTCCCCAACTCTGCAAGGCCTGAGACCCTTCCCCGTCACTCTTACCTGCCTTGGAATCTTCCTGAGAATCCCGTCACCATGTCTTGGATCAAGAAGAATGGGTAGAACACTGCAAGGGAAACAAGCTCCGAGCTCACACAAACTGGAGTAGACGGGAACACGGCAGAACACTGTTCCCAGCCTGACTCTTGAAAGGTTCCTAGCGTGGGATTGGCTCGAATCCAATACCGATCCTTTTGAAGCTGGCTCTCTCTGGAGGAACTGGATCCACACATTGATTGATTGATTGATTGATTGCATCTCGTGCTTTCTGAGTTACTCAGGATTAGGCAGGGCGCAACTGCTCAGACATGCACGCGTAGACAAATGCAGGAAGGCCTTGTCCTAACTATGTTGGTCTCTAACCTGGATTTCCTGAATGATGGTAGATTCCAGGAACGGGTATGGAAACATGGTTGTCTCTATTACTGGCAATGGTGAAGATGACAAGAAAGAAAAAGAGAAAGAGGAGAAGAGGAGGAGGGGAGAGAAAGGAAAGGAGAGGAAAGAGGTGGAGGAGCAGGAGGAGGAGGAGGAGGAGGGAGAAGGTTAGAAGAAAAAGGAGACAGAAAAGGGGGAAGAAGAAGAGGAGAAAGAAGAGGAAGACTGTGGGGTCCTGGGTGCTCTCTGAGCTTGGTAGCTTTCCTGCAGACGTTTCATTACCCAACTAGGTAACATTATCAGGGCTAGAAGGGAGCGGGGGTGGGTGGGAGATGCAAAACCATTTACCATCGCTGAAATAAAAACAGGGCATTTCTGGATCTGCCTCAACACAGTCAAAGTAGTGCTTGTTCTTCTCTGTGGTATAATTCTTCGTATAAGTGATGTCAAACGCCAATCTCTTGCCCGGGGGGCATCCAATATGAATCTCCACTGTATCAGTACCCTGGGGGCCAAACAAGAAGTGAGCAAGCTATGAATTTATAAATTCCTTCTCTTCCACACTGAGGTATAACAATTCTACAATTCCAACTGCCTCGAGGGCCGGGTGTCTAAACCTGGCAACTTTAACCCCTTGTGGACTTCAATTCCTAGAATTCCCCAGCCAGCAAATTCTGCGAGTTGAAGCCTACGAGTCTTAAAAGTTACCAAGTTTGGACACCCCTGCTCTAAGGTAAGAAATCCTAACTGGGAAGTCTTGAAGATCCGATACCCATTTTTATTAGTGATTTTATTCTGTATTTTATGCAGGGCACGTTGTCATCGATGTTCAGTTGTTTAAAATAAACTAGTCGTTCTATGCTGTCTCCTTGCTGTTTGGCTGTTGGAAGGAAAAGAAGACAGAAAGAAATGGACTTCGCGGGGAACTGAAATTACCGTCAACTCTGGGTTCAGGCTGGCATGGCGATAACAGGACATTTTCGAATGGACAACCTGAGAAAAGTGGACAAAAGCTTCGTGAGTCTCTCAGAGGAAGAAAATAGAAAGAGCAGTTTCACTAACCCCAAGTAAGACAGAACAACAACCTCTTGGCCAGAGGTGAAAAGTAAACGGCCAGAGATTTAGAGGGCTCAAGCTTAGCACTAGGTTAGAAGCTGGCAGCTGTGAGTTCTAGTTCTGCATGAGGCATGAAAGCCAACTGATTGACACCAGGAGACTGGGAGTTCTAGTTCTGCGTTAGGCATGAAAGCCAGCTTCGGTGACTCTGGCCCAAACACAGGAGACTGGGATTTCTAGTCCCACCTTAGACATGAAAGCCAACTTGGTGACTTGGGCCAATCACCAGGAGACTGGGAGTTCTGGTTCTGCCTTAAGCATGAAAGCCAGCTGGGTGACACCAGGAGACTGGGAGTTCTAGACCCGCCTTAGGCATGAAAGCCAGCTGGGTGACTTAGTCCAATCACCAGGAGACACTGAATTCTACTCCCACTTTAGGCATGGGAGCCAGTGGGATAACTTTGATCCAACCACTAGGAGACTATGAGTTCTAGAGCTTCCTTAGACATGAACAGTGGCTGGGTGACTTTGACCCAGTCACTTTTCCTCATCCTAACCCACCTCCCAGGTTCGTTGCTATGGGGAAAATAAGAGGAGGAAGGAGTACTAGGCACTAATTCGCCATTGTGAGTTCCTTATAAAGCGACAAAGGTGGGATCAATCAAGCAAATCAAGAAACTACAACCAAGGCTGATAGGTATATAGAATGGATTTCCAGAACAGCTGATGAAGCCTGCAACTCACCTTTACGCTAGCTGAGCTTTTCAGAAGGTTCTTCCCACTGAGGTCTTGCTTTGGGTAATTCCCTTTGTCTCTAATGGTTACCTGTTGGGGGTGGGAAGAAGTCAGGCACATGGTAAAGATGCCCAAAAGCATCCATTGCATAAATAAAGAGGCTGGTTCTTTTTCCACCATTCTCGAACTGGCCTGACTGGGGGATTCTGGGAGTTGAAGTCACCAGGCCTTAAAGTCACCGTGTTTGGAGATCCCTGCACTAAAGAACTATCAAGTGCTATCCAGCTGACCATCAATGGCCAGCTACCCAGGATATATTTCAGTTCAGAATTCTGCTCTTTTGACGGTCTTAGAAAATGGATAGCAAGGGTAGAAAAAGGTGGATGAAGCACACCTGGGCACTGATCCTGCAATCGAAATATTGGAGGGGGGGGGGGAAATATCCAAGATGCTGTAGCAATGGCAGTCCACTTTGCAGAGGGAGCTTGGCAAATATCTGTGGGCACAGTCCCATTCAGCAAAAAGGCCCTTTTTTCATTCCAGATTTCAAGGACGGAGGTCGTCAACTTGAAGACTTGTAGACTTCAACTCCCAGAATTCCTCAGCCAGGCAATTTTAAATCCACAGGTCTTTGGAGTTCAGAGACTCTCGGAAGCTACAGCGCATTGGCTTGGTTGACAGCAAGTGAGGATGTTCGTTCTATGTTATTATGTGTTTGATAAGCATGTTGGCTAACCCTAATCCTTAGATGGTGGCACAGTGGTTAGAATGCAGTATTGCAGGCTACAACTGTGTGAAAAAGTCCTGCTTTTTAATTACATTTTTTGGATAGGCCATTGATTTTATGATATTTTATGCTAACTGCTATGCAGATATTGTTATATTTAAATAAATACTGGTGGTTTTTAAGTGAAAAGCATAAGCTTTTTGCAATTTGGTGTTGTTTGGATAGGGACTGTGAATTTTCTTTTTCTTTGTAAAAGTTTTATTGGGTTTTAACAAAAAGTTATTACATCTCCATACAGACATAATCTCAAATACATATTCATCCTATATCTTCAGTTTCATACCTTATCACTCTTTTTTCAATTTCTCAATATTTTTTCCCTCACTTCCCTTAATCTTCTTTTATTATTATCTCATTTCTTTCCTCCCCCAACCTCCTCACTACTGTCCGACTTTGCTGCCAGCTCCGCCAGCGGGCCACAACGCCACCCTTCCTAAGTCGGTAAAATGCAGACCCAGACTGCTGGGCAGGGCAAGATGCTGTCTCTGTAAACTGCTTGGAGAGGGCTGTAAAGCGGTAGATAAGTCTAAGTGCTAGTGCTAATCCTGCAAAGGAAGCCACGTGTCCACAGAACCAATGATCACCTGGCTCTTACCCGATATAACATCGAGCCTCGGCTGATGAGTTCTTCCCTCTGCGCTTTTGCCTCGATATACTCAGGATGGGCCAAAATAACAGCCATCCAGATGTTGTAGAGGGAATTTTCCTGGGACGTTTCTCCCACTAGGCAAAAGAGCACAACGGCTGAGGATAGGGGGGTGCACGCGCACACGCACATACGCACACACAGACACTCCAGTAAACAGCCTCGGACCACACCAAAAGCAAAGGGAGATATAGAAAGTGGTCCCTTCTGCTCCAAAGACCATTCTGCCTATAGACCAGGGGTGTCAAACACAAGACCAGTGGGCCAGATGTGGTCAGATCGGGCCCATGAAACCGTCCTGGAAAATCTAAGGGGCTGGCCCGTGTCACTTCGGCCAGGCCTACCCAATGGGAAGAGGAAACATGCCAGCAGTTTGAAGAGTGATGTCAAGCTGGCCAGGGCCACCCAGTTGGCCACACCCAACCCCTCCCAAGGTCAACCACGGCCCCGATGCAGCTCTCAATGAAATTGAGCTTGACACCCCTGCTCTAGATCGGGGATCGCCAACCTTTTGGACCTCAGGAACCACCAAACTCACAATTTTAAATCCCACGGACCACTAATATGAATTTTGACTGATGGTGGCTTGCTCACGTTTTCCCAGGGTCTCGGCAGAAAGCAGCAGGCACTGGGAAAATCCCCCCCCCCCCCCAAATCTGCAGGAAACTTCCCCATTCCGTTTTCCTAACAGGTCGGTCATTCTTTATTTGGGATTGCAGGATACTGTCTCCAGTTCTGTTCTCAGGGGGAGAAAGAGAGACTTTTGGCTCCAGGCAAGGAAAGCAGCAGAAGTAACAGAAGTCTTTCTTTCTCTCCCACAAACTCCGCCAGAAATGAGCCTTTGTGAGACTTGTCGTGCCGGCACAGCCTCTTGGAGCAGGAGGCCTTGCAGGGTCCCCAAGACTCATTTCTGCTGGAGTTTGGGGAGAGAAAGAAAGTTTTTTGCTGCCTCGTGTTCCCGCGCAGCCTGGGTTGTTTTGGGGGGTGCTTTGGGGGGGTGACATTTCTCTGCGGACTACCAAAATTTTCTCGCAGACCACAAGTGGTCCCTGGCCCAGTGGTTGGCAACCACTGGACTAGACTGTGTAGGGAGGAGAATGTTCTTGCCTTACAACCATTCCTTTTGTGACTGTTCAAAATTACAACAGCACCGAAAAAGGGGACGCGGGGGAATTTTTCACACACCATTACAGCATCCCCCTGGTCATGTGATCAAAAATTCAGACACTTGGAAACTGACTTCTATTGATGATGGTCGCAGAGACACAGACACATTCACGTTCACACAAACACATACTCCCCTACCCCAATTAACTAAGGTGAAATGAACCAAGTTTTGCACAGTCCATAAATGAAGACTCTTACGTCTTCTACTGACCCAGCTAAGCAGCTAGTAGGTCCAGCTAAACAAAAATAAAGGTAATGAATTCAACCTCACAGCAAAGTTAAAACATGGACTGCCTTCTTGGAACATACCAACAATTATAATTTGTTTTTTAATGTGACTTTTAATCTTGTTTTTAAGTCTTGTTAGCTGCCCTGAGTCATGAATTTGAGAAGAGAATTCTTATAAATTGAATGAGGGAGGGAATGAGGGAGGGAGGGAGGGAGGGAGGGAGGGAAGGAAGGAAGGAAGGAAGGAAGGAAGGAAGGAAGGAAGGAAGGA